GGACGCTGCGAGGCAGGGCTCGGGGAGCGGCAGGTACCCCACCCGGCAGCGAGAGGCTCTTCGAGGGAGCCCGGGGCGTTTGGCTCCCTGCTCGGAGAATGCCGGGGGGCTGAAAGGAGAGATCCGTGTGGCTCCTTCGCTGTGGAAACTTACATTATTTTCGGCTGATCTGTAGCTATTGGTAATAGATGAAATAACAAACAGTTAACAGACAGCCATCGAGACAGTTACGAAAACAAAACCAATACCCTTCAATACCAATAGATGATAGCAAGCACGCGTGATGCCTGTGCGCTGACTGACTTGTGAGGGTAGGAGTCTCCGGCTCCGGTCAGAATTTGAGCAGGCACGCTTTTAGTTTGGCTTAGGTAATATTAGGACTGGGAATTGCAAGGAAGTATTTTCGTCTAATGAAATGCTTTTCCCCAAAATCTGTTCTGAGCCCCGAATCCCTTGCTCTTTACCACTCCCTTCGCATCGTCCTCTTTCGCTGGCTATGTGTGTCCAGTCCTACCGTTAGTTCAGGTGGACATTCGTTCCTAAATTTGATCCGGGAATAAGTGAATTTATAGTAAACATTTTTGTGAAATTCTTGAGAGTTGTTGCTTGAATATATTTCAGGATTTACAGAGATATGGAAGGCTAAAATAAAAACCAGCATTGGCTTCCGTAATGCAGTAATCATCATGAAATTCTTACTTTTCCATGTGTCAACATTAAAATATGCTGTAAGGCAAATCAAAGGAATCGCACAATAAGTATCAGTGGCATTATTTGACAATGTATCTTTATGAGCATATTATTTTCATAATCTGCTGCAAACAGCATCTGGAGAGTCTCTCTTTTCTACCTTGTCTTAATTTGTGTATGATATATGGCACTATTTCTCAGTGTGGCCCTGAAGCTGCAAAACCCTGTATTTCTATGCAATTCCCTTAAAATACGTTGGTACATTTCCCCTTACAGGGCAACTCGGGAGTGACTGTAGCCACTTGTCAAACTCTGGCCAAATAAAAGAGCAAATAACCTTATGTCACTTTAAAAATAGAAAATGAATCAAATAAAACTTACCTGCTTATCCTTTCCAGAAGGCAGTGTTTTCCTCCAGATCCAACCACGAGTTTTCATTTCCTCCACTTTTACAACAGTCCCAAGTCCCGAAGGGGCAATCGCCAGTTTGCTTCCATTTAATGTTTATGTCACTACTGGGGGCAGTAAATTTAAAACAAAACATGATGTACTGCGTTTCCACCTGTGGTCATACTTTCCTTTACACTCTGCTGAGGAAATCCCACACTGTAACATTTTACATGTAAAAATCTCCAGTTAATTGCCAGCTGCTCGAAGCAGGAAAGAGCTTAAAAAACTGCCAAGTTTCACAGCCTGTGTATCTTAAATATATATATTAAGATAAGAATTCTGGGTTTTGGTCTTTTGGGATCCTATGACTGGTCTTTAAACTGAACAGAAATGAGAGGGAGCGAGGGAAAGACAGACAGACCTGTTGTAAAAGCCCTAACCATGTGGGGAGTGTTGTGCTGAATTTGTGTCTTACTTGCCTATTGCATTTGCTTGTGTGCATGTGTACACATACTGACTGCAATGTTGTATGTAGTTTTGGTCTCCCAACGCAGCAATACATGAAGGAACATTGTTCACTTCTGAGGCAAAACCAAGCCAGCTTAAAGGAGAAAACAAGGATGGAAAGCTGCAGCTTCAGTAAGCGAATGTTTTAGAGTGAGAAAGACCGTAAGTTGTAACTTAAACTGTATTGTAACATTTGACAACAGTGGCCACATTTAAGCTGCAATTGCTACGTATGAACTATTCCCAGTCAGTAATGGACAACACACATTATGACCTTGCTAAAGATACAGTTAAACCAGACACTACTATTCCACAAAAATAATCTATCATACTTACTTTCAGTTATTTTATAGCAAGTCCAACATCCATGAATTACCAGTCTGTACTGCATTCAGTGGCATGTTGTAACTTGTGTGCTTATTTAATTGATTAGATATTAAGCATTAAAGATCTGGCTTCTGGGTGCATTCTTAGCCGAGAACTATTCAGAGACCACACAAGAGCCACGATGTTTGGCATAACATCTCCTCTCTTTGCTGCAACTGTAGCATGCTTTGTTGCTAAGAAAAATGAAACCTGTGAAGTATTTACTCTAGCTTTTCCTGCCTTTCTAATGCAAATAAGCATTAAGATAAAAAGAAGTGAGTTCTAAGTAGTAAGCGATCACTCAGAGTTACACAATTTCAAGGAGCATCTATTATCTCCCTACTAGGACCTGATGCAATACAATTTAGATGGCTCTTTCCTTTAATATCCTTCACTTGACTGAAGGGAAGCGTCTGAATTACAAGTCCATAGTCCTAAATATTAACTGAAAAAACACTAGCCTATGAATATTCAGGCATTCTCAAAATCAAAATGTAGTAACAGACCAGAATATAGTAAGCTACACACTTGGAACTGCTCTGTGATTATTTGTTACAGGTCCTTTGATTTGACCCTTCAGCAAGTGAATTTGAAGTTTCAAATACCTTAAACAGGGTAACAAAACACCTCCAAAGCGAAATGATGAGTAAAAAACCCAAGATGATACAAGATGAAAATCAATAGGAATTGTAGATATAACTGGGTTAATCTGCTAGGTAAATACAGATAAACTATTTAAATACAATATAGGCACACTTCTATGTGCAGTGTACAGTTAAATAACTGGATTTTTACTGGACTTCAGATAGCAACTAAAATATATTGTTAACATTTGAGATTTAGTTATCTCTTACCATACTTTCTAAACATATAATAAGCTCATACCTTACAGAAAGTTTGCAGAAATCTAGAGTTTGGCCCTGTTAACTTTTGCACACAACTACTAGTTATTCAGCAGTTGTATGCACATGGATAGGTTCTTACTGTATGTTATGGCAAAAAAGAAATTCCTCTTTATTTACTTGCCACTGGCCAAGGCTAAGCCTATCAGCAATGGTGGCAGTACCTCTGTGGTAACATATTTAAGAAGGGGGGAAAAAAAAAAAGTGTAACAGCAAATTTTGCAGTGGGATGGAGGCATCAGAACATGTGAGAGAAACAACTCTGCAGACCCCCAGGTCAATGCAGGAGGGGAGGAGGTGCTCCAGGTGCCAGAGCAGAGATTCGCTGCAGCCTGTGGAGCACACCGTGGTGAGGCAGACTGTACTTGCAGTCATGAAGGTCCACGGGGGAACAAATCCCCACCTGTATCCCATGGAAGGGACCCCACGCTGGAGCAGGTGGATGCCCAAAGAAGGCTGTGACCCCGTGGGGAGAGGAGCCCACACCGAAGCAGGTTTGCTGGCTGGACTTGTGACCCCATGCTGGAGCAGTTTGTGGAGAACTGTCTCCCGTGGAGGGGCCTCACACTCCAGCAGGGGAAGGGAGTGAGGAGGAAGGAGGATCAGAGAAAATGTGTGATGAACTGAGCGCAGCCCCCATTCTCCATCCCCCTGCACCCCTCAGAGGGAGGAGGGAGAGAATTTGGGGGTGAAGTTCAGCCTGGGAATAAGGGAGGTGTGGGAGGGAAGGTGTTTGTAAGATTTGGTTTTATTTCTCAGTATCCTACTCCAATTTGACTGGTGATAAACCAAACTAATTTTCCCAAGTTCAATCTGTTTTGACAGTGACAGTAATCAGTGAGTGATCTCTCCCTGTCCTCATCTCAACCCATGAGCCTTTCATATTTTTTTCTACCCTGTCCAGCTGAGTGGGGGGGAGTGATAGAGCGGCTTTGGTGGGCACCTGGCGTCCAGCCAGGCTAAACCACAACAATTTGCTTACAAAGTTAAGTGGGAACTAGACATAATGTTATAAACTTTTTTTTTTTAGAAAACACAGCTGTGTTTTAGAACCATTTTTCATGTGTACGGAAACTTTTCATAATGAGGCTGAGACAAACACATAACGAGAATTTCTTTACCTTTCCACTGCTGATGCATGCATTTTGCTGAGTAAGCAACTCTATGTCAGAAATCGGCAATATTTAATAGGACGCTGCTTCTGCAAGTCTTTGTGAAATCACTGTAAGAAGGTGGAGCACCTTGCCTGCATTCATCCATGCTATTTTAATGCGTTCTGAAAAACGCATGTCTGAAACACAAAAATCTCATATTTCACAGGCAAGCAACAGGAAAGCAGATCAAAAGCTACGATACCTGCGTTCATATATGTATTAGCTAGGCTGAAACAGGCTGCTGCTGGCACACAAGCTAGCGAGTTTGTCTGCTCAAAGGGACAAGCAGTCAGGTCAAAGTAGGCCAGAAAACACCAGCTATCCTGAGGCTACTTTCTTCTGCCTCTGCCCCCCATTTTAACCGAAGCAGACCTTTCCATCTTCAGACTCGGAGCATGTACCAGCACCACATCACCCTTGTGAAATCACCTCTTGGTGCTGCAGCTCAGGACATGCAGCAGCAGGAGAAACCAGCGCCCATGGCTCGTGCTTCCACCTTGGGTGGCAGCCTCTGCCCCGGCCGACCAGAGGGCTCCGAGACCCCTGTGAAGTACAACGGGAGCATCGCGGGCTGGAAGAACAGCTCAAGCTTCGACATTATTGAGCCTACAGAAAGAGCAACTGCATCAAACCCACTCTGAGTAAACACCTACCAGTAACTTAAAAAAAAAAAAAATTATCAGGAGGGGTTTCTGCCTTACAG